TTAAATACTCTAAATACCAATACCTGAGATAAAACTATGAGTTTCTAAAAGAATTCTTCCTGTTACGTTCTTCGAATGGTGATGTTAACACAACCATTTAACGAATTCAAAGGTCTCAAGGTCGACTTCTGATGACAGCATAATTGATTTTCGAGGTTCATATTCACAAAAACTTAAAAGTTGCTAGTAAGGACATCTACCTTTAACATCAATGTTATCTTGTAATAAATAATTTTCAGTTAAGTTATAGATATAATATAGAATAAATTTTTAGGAGGAGGTATTTTAAAGATATAAATATCGTTTTACATTCTCACTAAAACGGTATAGAAAACATATAAATTATATTTTTAAATATTTCTTGAATCTCGTTTTGAGTGTTTAATTAAGAAATCTAAAATTTCCAAGGTTGTTCTTCAAACAACTGAATAACCATCTTTTTTTAAATTAATGCTTCATTTATTTCTTCAAGTTAAATTTGACCCATATCAGATGATTTTTGAGAAATTTCTTACAAATGCCAAGTAATTTCGAATAAAGAATAAAATCTTATAAGTTTCTGTGCAAAAAAAAAAAAAATTAAGCTAAAATTTAGCTAGCTTTTCCACTTTCTGGTGACATTATGTAATACTATTTTAACCCTGCCTTTTAAAATCAGTGCGGCCTGGTAAGTGTTACCGTTCTATTCATTCTACGTCCTTGTGGTGAAGTTTAGAAGGTAACAGGTCCACTCCCTGGCGAGGCATGACTGATTTTTCAAAATCTCTGTTTATGAGTGTGGGGGAGGAAGAAGATTAATGATTCTACAATCGCTCCAAGTTTAAAAGGATAAAGCCATAACTCAACCCTAACTTGATCTGACCGACAGGCTGTCATTCTGTCCCTCTAGTCGCTATTTACGTGCTGGGAAACGAAATGAATTAAAGGCATTTTAATCAAGTGCTCCTTGGGGTATAGGGATCAGCAGAACCAATTAACGGTGTAAATTTTTGAGTTCAGTTCTTAGGAGTCTTTCTAAGTCAATTCTAGATCCAATTTTTTTGCGTTCTTGGACGATTCTTATAATAAGTACAAAACATTTTTAAACTGCTTCTTTATTTTTAACGACACCTTTTACTGAAGTTATTTATCACATGAACTTGATACGTCTAATGAAATTTTTTATAAAAACATTGTGTGGGTCTTAATAAAAGATGCTTTTAACATCGTATACACATAACCTGGCAAACAATAGCGTATACACCGTCTAATCTCCTTGTAGAAGTATTTTAGGTAAACTGAGCGAAAGTGTATCACAAAATGACATTATAAAAAATTTATCAGTTTTTCAGAGGCAACTTTATGGCAGGCACGAAACAGATCAAGGTGCTGTCTGTCACTTATGCAGCTATAAACTGCCACAAATGTTTAAAGTACTAGTACACGTAATGCAACCGTAAACTAGATAAATCTTTAGAAAATAGTTGTAACCATACTGAGAAACTGACATAGGATTTTAAATATTCTGGTAACTAGCATTATGATAAAAAAAAAGACTGAATTTCTTTCAAGATTTTTAAGTGTATGTTCTTTAAAGTTTTCATAAACATGCATTTTTCTTGGTTTATATTCAAAGCCGTATTCGGTTCAAAAGCTCTTACGTTTTAGTGGAATGTTTCCAGAAGAACCATAGTGGAAAGAATTTAAAGAATTTTAACGAAATTTGCTGCCTTAGAAATTTAATAAAAGTTTGAATTATTTAAAAAGAAGTAAATGACAATTATTTTACCGTTGGAGTGTTGTATTAATTATTTATCTTTCTGAAGTATGGTATTCCTTTTTGGTTTAATAAATATAGCTTTGCAGTAATCAAAGAAAGATGAAATGAAATCTTCTTTTATTGATGACATCTCATTCAATGAAGAGATAAACTTCATTCACATTGACACAGAACTCAAATATAACAACCATACCTTCATTTTAATATAATAAGTGAGTAGAATAATCTAGATTTTCTGCTTAGTCTGAAATTTGTAGTACTGAGAAGAATTAAGCATACATAAAGTGTTGAAGACATTCCTGCAATGTGTTGTTGCCTTATATACACAGCGACGTGGTTATCTGAAGATCTGTGTTAGATTTTCGGTAATAGCATGCAGAATTGGCTGAAATATTAGGTTTCTTTCAGGGAGGAAGTTGAAGCACGGATTTCTATTTGTTGGCTGAATGAGCTAATAATTGCGCCACAAGGAAGAAAGTCTGTAAGAAATGCTTTTGATTTTTTATATCCCTCACGCACTTATTAGACGACAGAGAATTTCGAAAGATATCTAGTTTTCCAAAAGGAAGAGTTATTGCCAATCACATTTTTAGTCTGGGCTATTCATTTTCGAGTTAAGAGACATGAAAATTTAATTACACCTCTGCCTGAAATAGAATCATTGATTTTGTCAGTTTACTAACTGGATGTGCTAATCAACGCATCAAAAGAATACATTTTTTATAACTCGCATAGCTTAGAACTAAAGATAAATTATACAACTCAAAAAATAGAATAATTTCTATATGATAATGTTAATAATCAGATAATTACAGGACGATTACAATTAACATTAAACAAATTCCCTGAAACAGGGCACTTGGTTAATTGTTGGATAATTGAGATTCGTGCTTTACCGTGGGATCAACAAACGCTGCTCTTCGACTGCAATTTTCTGCCAAGGTGCAGTAATCAGCAGCATTATTGCTTGAGTCGCTTTCTAAGAGCGAATTCATAGTTCTGGGTGATATTTACCTTTTTGATGATATGCTTGCGATGAGCTAGCTACTTGATGATTACTTTCTAGGAATGTAGTTTATAGGCGGACTTGAAAGATGAAAGTTAATGACTTAATGCATTTTAATTAATGCTAATGACTTAATGCTTGCAAAAGCCTTGACGAGAAGACAGAAAGGAAAATAAGCTGTTGGTGTGTTGGAATTTTTCGTCGTCAAATAGAAAATTGTTCAACCAGGAAGACATGTTTATTCATCTAATCACGTTAAAGTAGCTTATCAATCTGGAACAGTTAAAGAGATCTTTTGCAGCCTTTCCGACAAATATAAATTGTGTTAACATTTCACAGGCAGCACAGCATCTGCCGATCCGCTAAGCAGGAGTTTCAGTTTACCTAATCAATTTTTAAATTCTCTTCACATATTTTTAACTTGCATAATCTTCTGACGAGCGATTATGTACGATGTGTGTCAAGAGAAACTAGCAAATTTTTTAAATTAATCCTAACTACTAGTAAAACTTGAAGATAATTCCCACAACGCAATGTTCGGGAGTAGACCTTTGTTTTGCTGTAGTTGTTATTTACGCGATTTTAATTACGGTGTTTGAGAAATCTTGACTTTCACTTTTAATGAACCGACTTTCTTAAAACTTTGTGCGCATGCCTATTTGCAATGTCACATAATATTTCATAACTATTTTTTTCAAAATTAGGCAGAATTTCAGTAATAGTAACATGCCGAATAACAAGAAGTTCAAACAACAATAATCAGCGTAAATGTTTAGAATTTGCAATACTATTTTTGAATGCCTTACTACAGAACCTGCTTCTTCGGCTGCAAGAGTGAAAATGGCGAAAGCATGAACGACGTGTTTCATGAACTTCATTCCAACCCAGATATTATCAGTTCAAAATCCGACAAAGGTACCCAGATAATCCTCATGGATAAAACAACTTACATGGATGGTGTTTCTTAACTCTTAAACGAAGACTCATATAATTTGATCCCTAACTATCCTTCATCTTAGGACCTCTCAAAAATAAAACTGCGATTAAATCTCGACAAATCCTGTCGACTCACAAAAATCTCTTATCTCATCTGTTGCGAATTATTCTTCCCAAAATTCATAAAAATGGTATGCCATCGTCAACCTAATTTAGGCACTGCCTCTTACATGTTAGCTAGGTTTAGGTTTTATGCTTTGTTACTTACTAACACTTACGCCATAAAAATAATAGAGTTTATAAACAAATTAGAAGAGTATTTCTCCTAGAATCGTGTTTCCTTTATTATATTATCATTATTAACCAATGTTCCGAATGTCTATGTACGGATGCATTATTATGAAACCAAATTATTTGAAATAGTAAACTTCCCTCTTTGGTTTCACTATGTTGAGGATACATTTACTTCGCTTGACGATGTTAAAGAGGATTTAGATAAAGTTCTCTCAATAATCAATTCCCTTAATTCTGCTATTCAACTCATTTTCCAAGTTGAGACATCCAAGTCCCCTCCGTTTCTCGATATCTTGGTCACGCGAAATACATTAATTTCAGTGATACTGTATACCGTAAACCTTCATATGGCCACACTTCAAATCCTGTGTTACGAAGAAGAAAAATTTGGGCTTTCTTTTATTCTTTCTTGTTATTATTTCTTTTTCTCCGAGCTCTCCAAATTTATTCCCCCACATCAGCTCCTGATCCAAAAATTAAACTACCTGAAAGCTGTTCCTAGTGACAGAGGTTTTCCATCTAGTATTATTGATCAAGCAATTAAAAAATTCTTATCTCAACGCAACAAAAATTTCTCTCTCGTTTTAGGACATTATAAAAATTCTGTAGTCGTCCCTGTCTTTCCCTCTATTATCTATAAAATTGCACACAAGTTTAACCTTCGTGTCCTTTCTTCTCCTATCAATAAAATTCGCAGCCCCATATTTAAAAATCCCATTCCAGATATGAACTCCTGAAGCATATACAGTATTCCTTACCAGTGTGATTTAATATACATTGGTCGGGCTAAGACGACCTTAAAACTTCCCTCTAAGGAAATCTGTTGCTCAACACTGTTGCACAAAAAATCCTATTTTTAATTTTTCTGCAGGCAACATTATCAGGGCGAATTAGACTTTTTGGAGGCGTTTCACATTCATAAAAATCTTTCAGTTCTTTTTCAATTATCTAAATTTCAATCCGAATTTACCCTCAGCTTTTAAAGAAATTATTTTGTAATTGGCTTCATTTTTCATCAGTATATGGTGCTCGCAGATTTTCTTTTGTGTTTTGTTGGAACTTTCTTGAGTTTTCCAGTATATTCTTTTTCATTGGTATCTCGTGAGCACAAGCTTGCTTTTTATCACTTTCACTCTTGCAGCTGAAGAAAAGGTTCTGTAGCAAAATTTTCAAAATTAGTATTGCAAATTCAAAAAATGAACGCTGATTATTTTTACTTGAACTTCTAATAATTAGATACAGAATATTTTTACGTAATGTTGAAATGCTATTTTTACGAATGTTTTACCAGATCCCTCCTTAGCAATCAACTGTATTACCGCTTATATCTTCTCCAAAGAACAAATCGAAAAAATGATTTTCTAAATGAAGATTTTTGGGAATTTCTAATGTAATTTACCGAATTTACGACGATTGTTCTTTAAAATTAAAGTATAAACTGCCAATAATCATGCTTGCTTATAAAGACTGATCTTTTATTTTAAATCGAAAATATCAAATAGAAATTTGAATGACCTGAATAAAATTTTACACTACCGTATAAATCGGAAGACCTTAAAAGAAAGGTAAATTGTATACTTCGGATGTGATTTTCTTAATTATTTCTTTTCTTTCTTTAAACTAAAATGTATAAAATAAAATATATAAAATAATTCTTAAAAAAGAGTATTTAAATTACGAATTATAAGGACAAAAATTATTTTTTAACTATCAAAACGTTCTTGGTCACGTGTCACTGAAAATTAAATTACGAAGTGCCATTAAAGTATACTGGAGTTTTAAGACGGAACTAAGTAACGGAAATAACCATAAGAAATGGAACACATGAGGAGGACTACATTCAGTTCATTTAAACTGATTTTACAATTCTAACCTAAAGTCTCCGACTCATAACAGCCTTAAGATTTTATTTTTAAACAGATATGATCAAGAAAGCTACAAAAATCACATATTTTTACTTTTTAGTGCATTTAATAGCAATTTGAAATTTAGTGATGCAACAGCAATTTAAATTGTAATTCTAAAAGGTTTTCTAAACTTCATTAAATATGAAAGTCGATTATAATTAAGAAGCCCACGTCTCACTCATTTCGGATAATTCATATTGTATTGCAACTGTGATTTCCATTTTGTACTTGTACAAAATGTCTTTTTTCTTAAGTAATAATTTTAATTCATACCTGGCCTTTCTTCTAAGAATGTGCTCTGTCAACTTTCACGTTTAGCAAAAATGAGTTCAGAGAAATAGGGCACTTACGGCATAGCACTTCAGATAAAAATAAAAGGCACAAACAAGAATTTTGTTCTCTCTTTGGGTGGCGGCCAAACACTAGGTACTTTCGTTTATAAGCAAGCGTCAAATTGATGAACGATTACGCTTACATTATATGCGACTTCCTTGATGTGTTACGTTGATGTGAAACAGCGATCTTTTCACTGTTGCCAAAAGCTAAGAATAAAATTCTGCTTGTTGTCGCTTAGCACCTAATCGAGAAATTATCGAGAAATGTTAAAATTTTCTAACAATTTTTGAAGTAAATTACTTAAAAAAAATTGGTATGTCTATGAAAGCTCTCTCCTATAATATCAGTATAATATTATTTAAACTAGGTTCCCCAACTACTTTGTAAAAATATATATTTTCTCATCAGCAGATCTATGCCAGATTTAGTATATACAAATCATTGTTAAAAAACACTGGTTTAAATATCTGGCATGAGTTTGGTTTTAGTTGCCAATTTATGGAATAACAATGTATTTTAGGAAATAAGAAAATGTGAGCAATAATTTTCATATATTTATCTCACAGAATAATCATCTCTGCCGTACTTCCTAACTTCAAAATGTAGTATACTAAATGAATATACGTAAAGGCAACAAAAATATGCAGATTTGTTATTTTTATTATGAAGTCAAAAATGTTATAACATTTTAGGAAATTTTTTTAATTAAAATGTTCCGACAATGACATTTAAAATTAATAAATCAGTTTTAAAATCATGTGAATATTTCGAAACATCTGAACACTTGTTAATTTTGTGTTTAATTATAGCAATTAAAATTTTGCATAAATTAAACATGAATCAGAAACTGGATGCAATGAAAAATGATGTGTAAAACAGCGAGCAAAATTTTAGCGCTTTTTGTTATGTTTGTTTGTACAACATATAGATGATTCCTTAAATGCTGAAAAATGATTTATGTTTTTAGTAAAATAAATTCTGTTGTCAAATTATTTATTTCATATTGTACGCATATTGTATAAAATATATTGTATAAAATTAAAACCATGCGTAGGCTTTACTCGTTCACTCGTTCACTTACAACTTTATACCAAAGCATTTTTCTCATTAGGATCTTTTCTTATCCTATTAATTTGTTTCAATGTACCAAAAATAAGTTAATAAATAAATGTTTTCTATGAAAAACATTATTCATCTGTGTTATTTTTGGCAAATTTGCTATTTCTCTCACGTCTTCCTATATTTCAACTATTTGAAAGTGAAAGCCTTCAAAATATTATATTTGTAAGGTTTATCTTAATTTCTCTAACAGTTAATTTTTAGTTATAGTTTCCTGTCCTTTCTGAATTTCAGCTTACAACTTCCGGACAGAAAGTATTTTCAGAATCGCGGTCAAATGCAAATGAGGAGAAAGAGTATTTAACTGTGAAGTTCTATTGACTTCGTTAGAGGGCCAGAGATTCTATGCAGTGCACGTTAGCCTTTTGGCTATACTCTCTCTACAGCTATTTTTACGATCAGCCGTACTTTAGGCCCTTGACAGTTTCGCCGTTAGTTCGCGTTAAGGGGCCAACTCTGTTAGAATTTTGATAGCTTCGGCTATATCCTTTTAGCTTAGTTAAGCTTTATTCCTTAGTTTTCTGAGTTCAAGCCCGAGTGGAGGCTGTATTGTAAACTCGAAAAAGGAGTCGACTGTTAAACTTTATTTGGAATAATAAAGGGTATTTAACCCTTTTTGAGTATCTGTTCTCTGTCTACTGAACTAAAGTGATTATTCGCTTACCAGTTCTTAAAGTTCCTCAACTTTAGCTGCAACTTTAAAGGATAGGAATCTTACATATTAAATAAGCCTTAATTGTTTTTCCATAACGCCTAATACCTTTTTAATTACAGTGTTAAGATATGAATACATAAAAATGATTTAAACTTCATTTTTCAATCGTATTTGTTCTACAGAAATGATCAGTACATTTCCAAGAACTCTTTCTCCAGCAGCAAAAATATTCCGTATAGTTCAGTCTGCGTTCTCTATTATTCGTGCTTTTGTTTCATAAGAATACATTCAGATAACACGAGACCACATAAGACTATAATTAATTCAAGGGTCAAGCAAAAAATGACATTACCAGAGGTTCTGTTTGAAAGAAGCCTACTTAAAGTAATAATAGGGTGAGCCGCCTAATCGGGATAGTGGTTAGCGACGGCGACTGCCGCACCGAAGAGCCCGGACTCGAATCCAGGAAAAGGTATGGATGTTTGTAAATGTGCAGTGTCTATACGGCAGGGGAAGAAGGTGGGAGACCCTCGGACCCGTCCTCCCGGGTACTCTGTATCAAAATTGGGAGCAGAACTGAACAAAGTCGTACTGTCACCTGATGCTCAAGGTTCTTGCCAATGACAGGCGCAATCTTGCGCTCCTTGCCACGATGAATTTCATGGTTCTTGCTTCATTCTTGTTTTGGTGTTTCTGTCAGACAAGTGAGATAAGTCACAACAACATAATAAAGTGATTCATAAAATTACAGAATTTTCGTTTTTTCTTCGTTGGGAGGTGGGAAAAGTCTTTTACATTACTGTTACGAGTATTTTGACAGCCATGCTGACATTAGTTCATCGTATAGTAAAACTTAGGGTCTTTCAGTTGTTTTACATGTAAAGGCACTTAAAAATTTTGCATGAAATCCGCAGCTAAAGATCATAACATGTTTCTAAAAAAGATTGGAACGGAAAGATTAGAAATCCACAACAAAATTAGATATTACAAATTTATATTTTGATACCGATCTATTTTTGCATAATATTTCATCGTTAGAAGCAATAATGAGTTAACGCGGTATCTGGCAAATGATTTAATGTAGCTACTCACATAATTCTGGAAGAAAAATCGTCTATCGGAACAAATTTTGAATTCGATCTTTTGGTTTGCTTCCTCAAAACGGCAGCAATATTTACCAACAACTAGATAAATGAATTGAAGGACAAGTTTCGAGACGCTTGAATACAAATTTGAAAAAATATATTTTATGCAAAGTGTTCTCAAATCGGGCTGTACGAAAGCTCTCTTCATTTTGTATCTCCTCTAAATCCCTCTACAATATCTGCAACCCATTTATACTCTCCTTCTTTGAAACATCCAGATATATGTTTATAAATTCAGGAATTTCCAATCAGTCGAATGAGTATTTTATTGTTCGTTGTCTCAAGCAATTTCGTTTGATACGGAAATGAAATGGACAACTTTAATCACAAGCAGCTCATTTTAAATAAATTTTGATGTCTGCATAAAAAAATTGAGATTATCGAATAATTTTTCTATCAAATAATTTCACATTTAAGTCTTTCAAATATCTAGCAATGTCTAATAGGGATGTAAAATTATTCAACTAGTCCTTAGGAGGGTCAGTGCTTAGGAGTCCTTCAGGAGAAATATCTCCATCGATGTGCTTTTCTGTCGATTTGTTGTTTGCAAATATTTGAATGCAGGTACTCATAAAATTGTGATTGCTGTTACGGAGAAAGAAAAAATTTTATTATTATTACTATTTTATTTTATCATTCTTTCTGCGGTCTTAGGTGTATCTCTAGCCCACAAAAAATGCAATTTATTCTCTCGAATTTAAACCCATTAAATATGCATTCTTTTACACGCTTTTTTCTACTTCGCGTTCTTTTAATATTTCACAAAAGGATTTTCTGGTTCATTAATAATACGAGAATTTCGCTCATTTTCCTGCGCCCTTGATATTTATATCTCGAAATATTACAAAAAAAGAACAAAAAGAGTATTTTCTATTCTTTAATTTTTAAAGTTTATCAAAGAAAGCAAGAGACAATAGCTTTCGTCCTTTGCTTGTTTATTTCGGCGGTTCCCCATGCAACGTTACATGATATACTATGG